TCCATAACTTATGAGTTTAATGTGTGTTTTATGAAAAGACTCTTGATAATCCATAACTTGAGGACAAGTTGTGGAGTTCATTAAAAACATTTATGAAAAGACTTTTCATGTTCCATAACTTGAGGACAAGTTATGGAACTCATTAAAGAATATTTCGATCAATTCTAACAATGAAAAATTATCATATAATATTCTATTGATCTAATCTAATTCATGTAGCAAGGCAATTCATATCAAATAATACAAATAATTAACATGTTATCTTAATATTTGACAATTGTCTTTTCATTTTCATAACATATGAGTTTAATGCCATTTTAATGTATGAGACTTTTCATTTTCCATAACTTGAGGAGAAGGTATGGAGGTCATTAAAATTCAGTTAGATCAATTTTCTAACAACTAAAATTATCACATAATTCATGATCTAACTAAACTCGTAATCAAGATAATTTCAAGTCAACAATTTGAAAGCAATTTTGTTTATCATATAAAAACAACAATTATTTTAAAACTTTGACAATTATCTTGTGGTTGGATGAGTACAAGCACTACCATATCATAAAAAACATTTCCAATCATCCAAAACAGTTTGTGGTAGTGTTCCCAATTCAAACCAGGCCAAGAAACTCGAAATTCTGCACACAGGGGCACCAACTCGGCGAGTACATGAACTGGACTCATCGAGTTGGTCCATTACTGGGTAGACTCGTCGAGTCAGCCAGTGGACTCGGCGAGTTCATCAGTCAGAAGGCAGAAATTCGACTTTTTCAACTTTGAAAAACTAGTAAGCATCAAATATAATAGAAAACAATCCTAGGCTCTGATACCACTGTTGGGTTTTGAGCGCTATAACACTCCTATGGTGCATATGCAACCCTAAATGCTTTGGATCTATGTTTTCTCTAATTATACATGCATATTATCTATTTTTTCAAAGCATTGTCCTAACTAGCATACATTTGAACAATTGAATGATACATCTAGTTAGATGACTTGCCTCTTAGAAGGACTTGTAGTTCTTGACCTTTGAAAGCTTGAGCACCTCAAGTGTGATGCCTCTATTGGTTCACAAACACCAAAATGCAAGAGGAGGCTTGATAGAATAGGTTACTTATATCAAAGAGATGGGACAACAGATTTTGGTCCATGGGGGGTTCTATTTATAGTGTTGCACATGCTAGGGTTACACTTGGTAAACCCTAATAACCCATGACTTTCCACATTCTCATGCTCCATGGATTTAACCTCCATAGACTATCCATGGGTTAGTTTAGCCCATCTACATAATCATGGATCGTTGGCCCACACTACAAGAATCATTGATTTACATAATCAATCCCCATATATTTAATTAATCTCTTTTGATCACAAAATTAATAAATTAATTCTTGATCAATACTAATTAAATAATATGATTTCTCAATTAATATATTATACTTATAATATATTAATAAATCATAAATAACCTTATTCTCAAAAGTCCATCCTGTCAAATTGCACTGGTGAAGGCAACCCAAAAACGACAATGCTACAATCGGGTCAAGTACATACCAGTTATAGTTATGGGCTTAGACACCAAATCCAACAGAAACAAGAGCGTACCAGGAGAGACACTCGGCCCTCAAAGAGAGGGTGATCGCGGCTGAGCGTCGGATAGCAGAGATGAAGGCCTCCATGACTTCATTCCATGGCTCACAGGAGACCACCCGCCGCGAGTAGGGCTTATACTACTCACGTTTTGTGAACGATTAGACTTACGAGTAAGCGTTGGTGCTATTCTTTCTTGTAGACCTTCTTAAATGTCAATTTTCACAAAACTATGTACTAGTACCATATTATCAATGAAATGGGCATGCATTTTATTTCATTGGGTGTTGTTATTTGTTATGCAATTGTTTACTTATTATAGTAAAGTTCCATTTATGAATTGCTTGCAAATTACAATAACAACGAGGCTTAATACATATATAATCAAGACATTCCATTACGGTAATGCCCGACTCATAACCCTTATCAAAGACTTATCGTCATTGCACCTTTAAACTTTATGGCAGAAAGATGTCACCTCGAAGAATTAACATACGTGTTGTCAACACCTCAACAACTCCACCACCGCCACTTCCACAGATAGACTCTGCCGTGTTCCAGGTTGCTGTAATAGCCGTTGTGGCTGTCGCCATGGCCCAAATCAGCAGTAACGACAACGAAAGCGGAAACGAGACTAACAGTTCCAATATGGGCGAAAGCCAAGGGCACCAACGGATGTGCACCTATAAAGAATTCATGAACTGCAAGCCTAGGACCTATCATCGCGACGGCGGAGTCGTCACTTTGACAAGATGGTTTGAGAAAACCGAGTCCATATTCGAAATATGTGCATGTCCAGACGAATTCAAAGTCAAATATGCAGCATGTACATTTGCAGACTCGGCCTTGTCGTGGTGGAACGGCCACGTTAAAACTCTGACTCTAGCTATAGCCAACGTCATGAGTTGGGAGGACTTGAAAGTTATGATACTAGAGGAGTATTGCCCAAGGAGCGAGATGCAGAAACTGGAAAAAAGAACTATAGGATCACACCATGAAGGGATCTGATATCGCTACTTACACCGCCCGATTTAATGAACTGGCAACTCTGTGCCCTGGGATGGTCACTCCATAGGCCAAGAAAGCGGAACGTTAAATTTGGGGATTATCTCCTCAGATCCAGGGAATGGTCATATCCGCCAACCCAAGCACCTTCGACAGTGCTAAGCGTTTGGCACAAACTATTGTCGACCAGGGGGTTCGTCAAGGCATTATAACTCCCACGCCCGAACAACCAAAAAAGGGAGACAAAAAGCGGAAGTTCGGGAATAAGAAAAAGGGCCAACCCGCTCTAGACCCCGTCAAGAAACAACAAATTGTGGTCGTCCATGCCGTCACCGCCCCCACCGCCCCTGCATCAGCCAAGCAATATGTTGGGACTCTTCCGAAATGCAACAAGTGTAACTACCATCACAATGGAGCCTGCCGAGAGATGCAATGTAACAATTGCAACAAGAAGGGGCATACCGCCCGCTTCTGTAAGGTGCCAGCACAACAAACCACCCAAGCCGCTAATGTTGGGGTGAGTCGGGCATGCTACGGATGTGGTGATACGGGAAGATTTTTAACAATCGGGCATGAGGAGGCCATGAAGTATCCTACCGTGGTTACTGGTACGTTCCTCCTCAATAAATCATATGCGTGCATACTTTTTGATAGTGATGCGGAGAAAAGTTTCGTGAGCCACCAGTTTAAACACTTACTCAAACAGAAACCCCAATCGCTAAATGAAACATTCACCGTAGAAATGGCAAATGGAAAAACAGAAAGCACTAAAGATATATAAATAGGATGCGCTCTAACACTAAACAATCATTCCTTCCAAATCGACCTAATGTCGGTCACAATAAGAAGTTTTGACTTTATCATTGGCATGTACTCGTTAAGTCCTCACCATGTTGATATCCTATGTTACAAAAAGGTCGTTCGCCTTAACCTGCCAAGTAACGAAACCCTCGTCATTTATGGCGACAAACCCGGTGCAAATCTACAAATCATCTCTTGCATCAAGGCTCAGAAGTATCTACACAAGGAGTACCACGCCTTCTTATCCCACGTGGTGGATGAAAAACAAGAAGTGAAAGACATCAAGGATATTCCTGAAGTCTGTAACTTTCTCGATGTATTCCTAGAAAACATTCCGGGAATACCACCCGTACGCCAAGTCGAGTTCAGAATCGACTTCATTCCTAAAGCCACCCCCGTAACCAAATCCCCATACCGTTTAGCACTAACAGAAATGCAGGAATTGTCCAGTCAACTGAACGAACATAAAATTCAACTTTGGGCAAAACCGATAAAACTCTGAAAACTTGAGGGTTTTTATGACATTAGCCGATCTAACATATTATTGTTATTTATTTCAAATTCGAAAATAAATCATATACTCTTATCAAAGTTTTATTTTCTAACATATTATTGTTATTTCTCTCAAAGCCGACGATCCATCGGTTCACTAACTAGCCAATGGAAATACTCTATTTTCCTCCACGCGGATTGCCATCGTGCGGATCTCACCTTCCATCTTCCCAATCTGACGGCTGGAAATACACTCTACAAAAACACAAAAATCTCTCCTCAACTATATCTATATAATACCCGGGTCAAATCGAAAATCATCAGTTCATCTGAACTTCAAAACTTTTCAAATCCATTCCTACAGAGAGAGTTACAGACATGTCTGGAAGAGGCAAGGGAGGAAAGGGGCTAGGAAAGGGAGGAGCAAAGCGTCATCGGAAGGTTCTCCGTGACAACATCCAGGGAATTACCAAACCGGCGATCCGGCGTTTGGCCAGACGTGGCGGCGTTAAGCGTATCAGCGGTCTGATCTACGAAGAAACCCGTGGTGTTCTCAAGATCTTTCTAGAAAATGTCATCCGTGATGCTGTTACCTACACCGAGCATGCTCGCCGAAAGACTGTCACCGCCATGGATGTCGTCTACGCTTTGAAACGTCAGGGACGTACCCTTTACGGTTTCGGTGGTTAGGGTTTTTATTTGGTTTAGGTATTTCTTGCCTTTATGCACCGATTTAGATCTCTAGTGTTTAGATTTCAGTTCACCTTGTTGATGTTCAGTTATGTATGATATTCAATGCAATTGAAGCCTTATCGATTCAATATTAATCAAGATCTTAGCTTGTTTTCGTATTTAGTTTATAGATTCACAACGTTTTCCATCATAAAATCAAAATTGTTGATGACAGTTTATTTTTTTCATTTCTTATAAAATCTGTCATGATCTTGTCGCATGTGTGTTGATTTGGATTTGATTTTGTGATAAAAGTTTAGGTAATTTGAATTGTATTTTGTGAATAAACGATGGGTTTTCAGTGCACAATATTTTTTATAAATCGTGAAAACCCTTTTCACTATCGTTTGAACACCAAATGGTTTCGCTATTACTAACTACATTGAATCTCGGTCCATACTAAATGCTATATTTTCTTTACTGTAATGCTTGTTTTTACTTCATTTTGTTTAATAACATGTTAAGAAGTACATTATGGGAAAAAATGTTGACAGTTTTATGTCTACAACTGATTAAAGACATTCATTTTTATATGATATGATGGAGATTTCGGTTACGTTTTCTATATAGTTATGAATTGATCTGTATGTGAATGCACTTTGTATGAATACCCAAAGACAATGTTTTGCAATCGTGATAAACATACGAATTGGTTTGTTTGGATTATCCAATGCATATGTCAAATACGAAAACATTTCATAAGCAATTTCTTTTTTGAGAGGCGTAGACATTCAAATATGTATGCGGTCAATGTTGTGGGTTCTCAAATAAGTATTTTAGAGCAAATCAACGGTACTTTCTATAAGTACCCTATTCATTTTCCAGTTCATCTCTTTTGATTTGATTTTTTGTGTTTTGTTGTTTTTTTTCCTATTTTGTTTTTTTTGTTGTTTTTAATTCTTTTTTAATTATTATTATTATTATTATTATAATATTATTATAAATTTCGCACAAAATTTTAACATTCCGGAAGACATTATAAATTCAAACGACTATATAAATTCGGTTTTTAAATATTTTTTTATATTTTTTAATTACGGATAAAAAAGTTGTTTGAATTTTATAATGACGTGCGAATTTACAATGTTTACCGAATTTTAAAATGTCATCTGAATTTAATAGTAATAATATTAAAATATAAAATAAAAGGGAAAAAAATCAAAACAAAAAGGAAAAAAAAAAAGAAAAAGAAAAAAATAATGTCAAATAAAAAGTAAAAAGTTGATTTGATTGATGTTAGGGGGGGTAAAATTGGTTAAGGAGTATTTATAGCACAACCCCAAATCAACTCCATTAATTATGTTATTAATCATTCTGTTTGTCAGCGAAAAGGTTAAAAAAGTCTGGCAATCTTATCAATTATAGCCACGTTACTGGTTCTATGCATTTTTTTTCCTTTTGTTTTGTTTTGTTGAACGGCAAACCATATAAGCTATATACATATAAAAGCCCATTTAGTAGGGGTAAAATGGTCCAAGTTTAAATACAATGCCAATCAGAAATCCATTGAGCTTGGGAGCAACAACAGAAGACAATGTGACATTACCCGTATCAGGGGTAAAACCGTCAACGATGGCGAATTTATCAAAAGACGAATATGTGAAACCCGGGAAGAGGGGCGAATTTGTCAAAAAACATTAAGAGTAAATTACATGAATGGTTCGTGAGATTTGGAGTAATTGATGTGTTTGGTCCCTAACTTCTTTTTTTAGCTAGCTAGATCCTTACTTCATGTTTGAGAAAATGTCTTATAAGTGTATCTATGTTTCAAAATCGTTCAAAAAACACCATTCAAGTTTGGTCTGGTACAAAAACACCATCAAAGTAAAGTCTTTGTACAAAAAACACCAACAAACTACATATTTTGTTCAAATTTCACATTATGGTAACAGATAGTTACCGGTGAAAAATAATTAAAGGAAAAAAAAGAGGAAATGACTCGGAATGGTAACTATGTCTTAAAATCGTTCAAAAAACACCATCGAAGTTTGGTCTATTCAAAAAACACCATCTAAGTAAGGTTTTTGTACAGAAAGCACCAACAAATTATACATTTTTTTCACAGGTTACCCACTGGTAACCAACTCTTGTAGGTTAAAGGATGGCTCGACTTAATTATTGGTGACACTACATAATAATTAGTGACATGACATTAGTTGATACATTCTTCCTTTTAAAATCGATTTAGGGCTTCTTTATGAACGGACAACTGAAATTTATGAAAACAAGGGGATAAATATCAATAAGTAGCTCATGGAATGGGATTTGTGACAATGGGAAGATGCATAATAGTTTGCAATCCATTCTAGTGTAGTCATGACCTGTAGTTAGGCGTGATGCAAACAAGTAGATTTCAGCACACTGCAAATTGACACAAATATTTACAAAGACACTATTGTAATCACATTAAAAATTGGCATACACATTCAGAAAAATGTATTGCTTAAGATTGTTATACTACATATTACAAAAGCTTACACACATATATTAAAAAAAAATGAAACACATAATATATAAGAGAAAGACATGATAAAGATTTCGATTAAAGTTACCATTCAGTTGGGACAAACCCCTCTTCGTGATAGATGTGCAAATTCGAGAAGGATGCCCACAACCACAAGGGTTAGTATCATCAAATATCTTATGTATCTTTAAAATGTGTGAGATTGAGTTGAAGATCATTAATTTAGAAGAAGAAGAACAATCAGAGGAGAAGAAAAAGTTATTTGTTAATGAAGAAGCTCTAAATCGATTTATAAAGGAGGAATATATCAATTAATGTCTTGTCACTAATTATTATGTCATGTTATAATAGTTAGGCCAAGTCATCCTTTAACATATAAGAGTCGGTTACCAGTGGGTAATATTTGAACAAAACATATAGTTTGTAGGTGTCTTTTGTACAACAACTAACTTGGATGGTGTTTTTTGAACATACCAAACTTGGATGATTTTGAATGATTTTGAAACATAATTATCTTTTTGAGTCATTTCCTCTTGTTCTTTTTTCCTTTAATTATTTTTTATCGGTAATTGCCGGTTACAATAATGTAAAAATTGAATAATTTATGTAGTTCCTTGGTGTTTTTTGTACAAAGTCTTTATTTTGATAGTATTTTTTGAACATACCAAACTTAAATGGTGTTTTTTGAACGATTTTAAAATATAGTTACCCTTATAAGTCATTTTCCCTTTATGTTTTTGTTGTGTCTCTAGTCTTTCCTACACATAAAAAACTATATTACATTTATCTTTTTCTTATTTTAATTAAATTGTTATTTATATATTTATTTAAACAATAAAATGAATTAAATAATCCCCACCCCCTAGCCCACATTCACCCCCACCTATACCCACTAACAAGAAAAAGTTATATGATAGTTGTAATTGTTGGATTAGGTGTCTAAGTCCATAACTATATTTGGTATGTACTTGACCCGGTTGTAGCATGATCCTTTTAGGTTGCCTTCACCAAAGCAACTTGACTCCATGAATAATAGAGAAAGAGGTTATTATGGTTTATTAATATATTATATGAATAATATATTAAAGGAGAAATCATATTTTTTTAAATTAATATTGGTCAAGAATAAATTAGAAATTAATTTTGTGATCAAAAGATATTAATTAAACCTAGGGGACTGATATTGTAATTATTGGATAGTTGCAAAGTAGTCTGAGGAAACCCTAAAGATAGGGTGGACGAAATCTTGTGGATAAGGCCTTAAGATTTCGTACAAGGAAGGATTCCAGAAGGATCTTATGGGCTGCTTAGAGCCTAAGCAACCGGATAAGTGTTTGACTGAAACCCTAACTCCTCACCTATAAAAGGAACCCCTAGGCATGCAATTTTCGGCTACCACATCCCTAAGAAGAGTTCAAGAGCCGAAAATTACCTCTCCCCTCTCTCTCTTGCCTTCTCCAATTGTTTTGGTGTTTGCGATCTATTAGAGGCACAACATTTGAGGTGCTAATGTTCTCAAAAGCTCAAGATCTTCAAGCAACAATCAAAGGTAACATTCTTACTAGTTTATTTATGTTGATTTAGTTTTTGTTGTATTCTAGATTAGGGTTTGCAAGTCTTGGACAAATATTGCATGTACATTTAGAAAAAATAGATCCAAGCATTAGGGTTTGCATGAACACCATAGGAATGTTGTTTTGCTCATAACCTAACAATAATCTCTATCTATATCTCTTTGAAGAACAACATGCACCACCGAACATCGTTGGATCATCGCCCAGATGCTGAAAACAACCATACACCGCCTGAAAGTCGCCGATCTACACCTTTGACCATCTTCTCCATCGATCCACACCATTGACCGCTAATCTGCACCATCGCCGTCAATTTTAACCATTTTTGCATATCTACTCCTTTGCCACATTCGACATCACATTCACATGGATAGACACAAACATTTTTTCTTTATTTTTCATATGGATTTTGGTTTGATTTATGGTTAGGATTTTTGGATTTGATTTTTGGTTTGAATGGATTTAAGTATTGAATGCATTTCTGGTATGAATGGGTTCGGTGGGGTATTTTTTTCGATGGCAAAGATGGTGATGATTTACTTCAGTGGTGATTTACTCCGTTGACACATGAGGTTACTCCGGAAAATACATGAACTAAACGTATCGAAGAATGGAAGGGATTAATGGGGCAACTTATAAACAAATAAAAATAAATTAAAAATGGAAGAAATAAACAAATAACAAAAAAAAATAGGTAAGCACATTATAGTCTTTTTACGTATGTTAGGGACCAACGACACAACAAAATCACATAGTAGGGACCGTCCGAGTTAAAATAAAATAAGTTAGGGACCAAACGCACAAAGTACCCCAAACCACATCGACCTACACTGGACCACCAAACACAGTTGTCGGACATCGGCAGATCATCGGACCCTAGATGTCGGAAACAACCGTACACCGCCTGAAACCTCTGTACG